AAAACTGTCCTATTAATCAGCTTTGAAACTGTCTCATTCGTATTTGTTTCTCAATAAAATTTAAAAAAATAAAATAAATTTAAAAAAAAAGAAAACAACTTTATATACACCTTCTACAGCACGTTTTGAAATATGTATAATTATGGGCTGGTGGCTAAATCAAGCTAATTAACATGCTTTACCACATACATTTTGTTAAGAACTCTTAAAAACTGTTTCCAGTCATTTTAAAGTAAATACTGTAGTTATTAAGGATATCCTCTGTGTTTTATGATGATCTCTTGACCATATTCCTCTGCTCTAAAATGTTGCATCTTTTGACCAGCATTTCTCTAAGTTCCACCCTGCTGCTTTTTTTATTATTTGTTTTAAAATTTTATTCTTAGTACATATTTATAGTACATAACAACTATATTCATTATGAGAGCTAGTACACGTACACAGTGCATCTTAATTATCTTTATTTCCTGTTTTCCTCCCCTGCCTCTCCCCTCTATCTTCTGACTCTCTGCTTTTGTGACTAACTTTTTAAGGTTCCACATAAAAACCATGTGATATTTATTTTTCTTTGTTTGGCTTATTTTATTCAACACAATGTCTGCCACATTCATCCACAGTGTTACAAATGAACTTCCTTCTTTTTTATGGCCGAATAGTAGATCATTGTATGTACATCTCACATTTTCTTTAGCCACCTATTTACTGATGGACACTTAGGCCGATTCCTTATCTTGGGTATTGTGAATACTGGAATGAACACAGGAGTACAGATATCTCTTGCCCATACTGATTTGATTTCCTTTGACTATATACTCAGCAGTGGGATTGTGAGGTCCTATGATAGTTCAAACTGTAACTTTATGTGGAGCCTCTATTCTGTTTATCACAATAGCTGTACTAATTTATATTCCCACCGACAGCATGCAAAAGTTCCCTTTTCCCACATATTGGCCAATAGTTATCTTCCATCTTTGTGATAACAGCCTTTCTGAGAGGGACAGATGACGTCCCGCTGAGATTTTCCTTTGCATTTCCCTGACAGCAATCTTGACTGTATTTTCATTTGTGAGGCTAATGTTCAGAAAGGTTTGTTCAAGTTTTCTCCCATCCCTCTTTGAGGGCCTGAAGATCAACCCCGCTTGCCTTATACATGCTGGACAAGTACTCTACCATTAAGTTCTATCTCCAGTCCCTTTGCCCAGTTCTAAATCAGACTATTTGTTTTCTTGCTACTGAATCCCTTACACATCATGACCTTATCAGGCAGACAGCTTGCAATATTTTTGGTAGATTTTTTTTTAAAAACTCCAATTATTTCTTTTGCTGTGCAAAAGCTTTTTAGCTTTCTGCCACACCATTTATCTATTTTTACTTTAGTTGACTGTGCTTTTGGAGTCTTTCTTTAAATAAAGTACTGTCCAGACCAATACCACTGAGTATTTCTCGCTGTTTTAAGCTATTTTATTGCTTCAGAGCTTGATTAAGTCTCCAATTTGTTTTGCATGTGGTGTGGGTTAAAGATCTAATTTCATTCTTCTGCAGTCCAGTTTTCCCAACATCATTTTACTGAAGAGACTGTCCCTTTCCTCCTATGTCGTCTTCTGTCTGTCAGAAGTCAACTCATTGTCAATGCACCAATGTACTTCTGGGCTCGCTATCCCATTCCCACAGGCCTATGTGTCTATGTTGATGCCTGTGTCAGGCTTTCCTCGCCTCCCTTTCTCTCCTCTTCCCCTTCTTCTTCTCCTCTACTTCTTTATAGCCATACCTTTAGTTACTTCATAAAGTTAGTGGTTAGCCGATTTGTAGTGTGTAACTTCACGATCAACATTTCTATACTTTTTTACTACTTGTGCTACATGAAACATAGGCCTGGAAGGCTCAGTTCTTTCCTCAGACGCTGGGCAAGCAGGGTGACTGCTTGGAAAGCCCTGCCTGTGGCCTGGATCTTCCATGACTGTCACCATGGCCCTTGGTGCACCTGGCCTCTACTACCATTTTTTTTTTTTTAAATTTTATTTATGTGTGTGTGTGTGTGTGTGTGTGTGTGTGGCCAGCTCAGCCCACCAGGGGGCGGAGCTGGCTGGCATGTGGTGCTGGGGGATGGAACCTTGGTCCATTAGCTTTACTAAACTTGTTCTAAGTAGGTGCTTTAGACCACTGAGCCATCTCACCAGCCCTCTACTACCATTTAAAGAAATGTAACTTGGTCTTTTTGGTTTTGTTTTTCTTTAGGGGAACTGGCTAGTCATTTGCACACCTATCAGGGAATTTGCTTAAATTTTGTTTCTTTTATTCTTCTTTCCCGAAACAAGCACTGTTGACACAGCCACAGGGACCATTCGCTGCCTGTATGCTCGCTGTGCATGGGCTATGGTCGGAAGCAGCCCAGCCCTGAGCTCATTCCAGCTCCAGGGCCAGCACAGTCAGCTCTGCTCAACTTGTTACTTATATACAGTAATACACTCCAGCCAGCAGGGGGAGCTCCAACCTCCTAGAGTTGATTTTTTTCCCACTTGCAAATGTCCCGACTACAGCACCTGGGCGCTCTTAAAAATCCCTAGGAAAGAACAGAAAGCATTTCTCCATAAATCAAAAATCTTTGTACTATTTCCAGCTGAAACAGAATCTATATTTGGAAATCAATAGCATTGAGTGGCATTTCCAGGACATATCCAGGTGGTTCAGCTTTTCCACTCCAAGACTTGCAAAACTGGGAAGGGAAAGGCACAGCAGCATCTCACAGGGGAGCAGAAATTTAAAAGTGAATTTTCCAGTTCCTGAAAAATGGGAAGAAGGGGAGGGGGGGGGAGAAGAGAACAAAAGAGAGGAGAGGAGAGGAGAGGAGCAGAGAAGAGAGGAAAGGAGACAGAAGAGATACACAAGCACTGTCCAGGCCCTTACATTTATTCTGAGGAGAGACTTAGATTTTTCTCTTAGAGATATTAGTCAATAAATCCACTGTGGACTAGATGGGAAGCCAGAGGGGCCTGGCCACACCCGAAAGCCAACCACGGCATCTGTTTTCAGGTTGATTCTCAACACTAAACGCACAGTCAATGTTCATCTCTCCTAACTACAGAAGTCCCCTTGCGGCCCGCATGATGATGAGAACCAGCCAGGTTGCAGACATACAGCCTCAATGCACCCAGGCGCTGGCCTCTTGGTCGGGGTAGCAGATGCCTACTCCAGGTTGCCCTTCCTTCTCTGTGCAGACCTTGGATGAAATCTTTAAGGTGGGATCATTTTTATTTTGCCCCAAATGCAAGGTCACCACTAGTAGTAGGTCTCTACAGCCCAACTGGCTGTATGTGATAACCACTGCAATCCACTTCTTTGTAAGGGTCCCCCCTGGGTCACAGGGGATATAGAGAGGTGTTGCACAAAATGTCAAAGGTGAAACCTCATCTTGCAGCTCATGTCTTTTGATCTTAGTTAAATGCAAATATTTCTTGAGGGTAACGCTTAACATCATGTAAAGTACATATCTTTTTTTTTTTTTCTTTATTTGTGTATTTGCTACATGGTCTCACTACGCAGATAGGACTTGTGGTAATCCTCCTGTTTTTAACCTCCCCACCACTGGGATTACAGGCATGCGCCAACACGCCTGGACTAGAGAGAAAGAAGTAGGGGAAGACGTCAAATAAAAGTGGCTGAAAAGATAATGAGACTACCCCCCCTTTTGAGACAGGGTCTCAATCCAGGTGGCCTTGAACTCAGTGTGTAACCCAAGCTGGCTTCAAATTTTTGGTGATCCTCTTGCCCCAGCCTCCTGACTGCTGGGATTACAAATGTGTACCATCATGCCCTGCCTACCCTATATTTTTTGCATCTGGCTAATCTTTCCATTTTCTTTGAACAGGATGAACCCCTGCAATGTGCCAGGCACCACAAGACAGACCTGGCTCTGGCTTTTCTGGAGTCAGGATGACAAGGAGGATATGAAGAGCAGAAAATAAACAGGTAAATAAATGATCAGCACACTACTTTCAGAAGGTAATAAAACCTAGAAGAAAATGCGTCATGGGTTGGGGAGATAGTGCAGTGGTCTAAGCACCTACCTGGCAAGCGTAAGGACCTGGGTTCAACCTCTGGTACTGCATGCTGTGCCAGCCCTGGAACCCTGGGCATCCTGTGTTGGTCCCTAAACTGGGTGTGGTGGTACACACCTGTAATCCCAGTACTGGGGAGGCTGAGATAGGAGGATTACTAGGAGTCTGAACTGCTCAGCAAGACCCGGTACCAAACAAACAAACAAACAAATAAATAAATAAGACACACATGAGAAGGAAAGACTGGGGAGGTGACAAAGGTATCTAAGGGGAATGGCTGAGGCATGAGGAAGTGAAGGAAGAAGGGTCACTGCTCAGCAGAGAGTGGGGAAGAGAGGGTGGCAGAAGCCAAGGCTGGAGTGGAAGGAGCATGGTGAGGGAGGTGTGCATGTGCGTGTGAGTGTGTTGTGCGTGTAAACGTGTGCTTCAGGGAGGAGTGGGCAGTGCAGACTGTGCAGGGCCCTGTGGGCCATTGTAGGGTTTCATACCTTCACTCTGACAATGGCAGAAGTTATTGGAAGACTTGGCTCAAAGGATGACATGGCAAAACAGACAAGCATAAGATTAACTCCCCATTCCACCCTCGTCCAGGCCAGGCAATGAGCACTCTGCTGTCTGTGTCTGTGAATTTGATTCCTCCAGGAGCCTCATGTAAGTGTAAGCCTGCAGCATGTCCTTGTGCATCTGGCTTATCACTTAGCATAATGTCTCTTTTGCAATCATGTTGTACATGAGGACATGTTTTTAAAGAGCCCCTTTAGCTGTGTGCTAAGGACAGATCACAGGGAGTTAGGGTAAGAGCATTGTGGTGGTTGGGCGGGGGTCAGGGAGGCACTGGCACTGCTTGTCTGCTGGTACAAACATGTAGGTATCAAGCCCAGACAGCCTGGGTCCTCACGCTTCAGGTCCGCCTCTGCTTTTCCAGGGTGAGAGCTCAGAAGCTGCCTGAATTACCTTTATGAAGTTCACTTTGCAGTGGCAGGAATCATCGTTGAGGTTGTTGATGACAATCTCTCCATAGTGCTCAATCCACCTCTGCCCACTTAAGATGTTGTGGATGCAAGAGGTCACCTTGTTCCACTCAAAATGATCTCCAAAGCTGCAATGGAGGGAGAATAGCGACAATGCCCAGAAGAGCCAGAAAGAGCTGCAAACCAACACTGCTATTTCATACACTAAGTCACAATCACCCATCTCTTCCTTCACCAACCCCACACTGCCTCAGCACCGTATGAGCAACACATGAGCTTCAAGCTCCAAGAGGTCACTCGACATACACAGGACAGGGTGGTCAGATGCCTGCACTCTGAAGCCATGGAGGGCTTTGCTGGAGGCTCTTGGTCTTTGCACCACCTCAACCCTCCTTCTACAAAGGAGGCAACTGAGAGCCAGAGGTGACATGACAGAGCCGCCCGGCTGGAAAGGGAAGTCGGTGGGCAGAAGTTATGGGGGTTTCAATAATTTGACAGTTGTATCTTTTATCAGGAGAAATTATTCATCTATCACTTAGAGTTAAAACAGAATTATGAGGAGACTTGATTGGACTGGGGCATGTGCTATACACTAAGTGCTGTCTGCTCTTCAGAACTGTCCTGTGAAGGAGGTGGTTGGGAAACCCCAGGTCACAGATGAGCGGGCTAAGCACGAGAAACACAGTCACAACGTCACTGGGGCAGAGTGAGCAGTGGCTCACAGCAGCCACTCATTATTCCGTCTGTTCTCTCTCATTCCAGAGACCATGCTCACAGGCATTTGCTTCCTACGTAAGTATCGAAAATCCTTGTCAGGGGAAGGCCAGGTCTTTCTTAAGAGGAATTCTCACAGTGGGGCAGGGCAATGATGTTAAAGAAACTACCCTTCTTGATCTTGGTAAGAAGTAGGAGTGGAGTTTTATAAAGCAGCAACTCGGAGAACATTGATCTGCAGGCAGCATTTCCTCATGGGGGAAGAAAATCGGAGCTTGCCCAGATAGGGTACACTTGATGTCACTGAAAAACAGCTCAAAAGGAAACCATACTCTCTGGCTACAGGCTGGTGGGCATCCTACCCCTGAAGTATTTTTCTGCTAAAGTCTATAAAATTCTTAACCACAGAACTTACGCTGGGAGAGTCACATGGGTTGTGCCAATGGGAACAATTTCCATGGATTTGCCCCAGAATTTGTTTTTCCATCTCACATCTGAAATGAAAGAGTCAATATTACATGTCTGCCAGGACAGCTAGTCAGATCAAAGAATTCTTAGTCTACACAAATGATCAATCACTTCATAGTACAAGTTTTATAATCAATATAATTATTGTATAGGAAAATATTTCATGCAATATGTACCATTAGGCACCTTAAACAGAATCAGAAAGACTAAAATTATAAAGTCCTTCTGGGCATAAAAAGCAGACAGAAGTAAAAACAAGTGGTAGGCCACACAAACACAGCCTATAGTTGAGTGTGTTCTAAGGTAAGATGGAAACAAAGAGGAGGGAATGACCAGCATGCCTGGGGAAGACATCAGGAGAGGTTCCTCAGAAGGGGTCACCTAAGTAGGCTCTGGAGAAAACAGCAGTTAGGTTTCACCAGATAGCAAAAAAGAAATTTAAGACAGAAAAACAAAACAAAACAAAACAAAACAGTTAAGGAAGTAAAATGTAAGAGTAGCCTGTGTTCCACCTCCTAGGGTCTGAGGTTATTTAAGGAAGAGCAGAAGATGGAGAGCAAAATGAGCCCATCCACCAGCCTGGCTGAGAAGGCTGGCCTGTGTGCACTGGGGAAATCAACAGCGAACTGACGTGATGAGATGCAGACCTTGCAAAGACAGCTGGAAGCTATGGAGGGGCAAGGGGCTCCCCTGGTCACCCAGGGGAAGATGGGTGACAGCCAGAGTGATGAGTGATCACATAAATATTAAAGAAATAGGGATACAGTGGCAAATTAGATACAGACTGAAAGGGAAAAGGAGAATTTATAAATGAGGTCAGATTTTTCTAACTGGTATGAAAGGGCGCCAGCAGGGGTGATGGGGAAGAAGAAAGCCTGTGGGAGGGGGTCCCTGGTGCTGCACTGAGGACAGAAAGGATGCAGGGGGTGGGGGAGGGGCGGGGGTGGCCAGGGGAGGCCAGGACTGGGGTTAGGATGGTGCTGGGGTCTGAGGAGGGCCCTGGGGGCAGCAGGCCAAATAGTACATGATTTTCTCTATATGAAGTGCCCCAAATCGGTATATTATACCGACAAAAAAAAAAAAAAAAAAAAAGGGTGCTGTTGCCACGGGCTAGGGTTGTTGAGGGAAACTGGAGGGGAGACTATTTGCTAGTGGTTTCTTCTAGAATGATGAAAATGTTCTAAAATTAGTTATGCTATGACTTTACAGCTCTATGAATATTAAAATGAAAACAATTTATTTTTTAATGTATTTTGTACAGAGTCTTACTATGCAGCTTGGACTCGTAGTGATCCTCCTGTTTTCAGCTTCCCCAGCACCAGAGTTACAGGTGTGTACCACCACACCCAGACTCAGTTGTCGGGGGTGGGGCCAGTGCAGTGTGCAGTACCGAGGACTGAACCCTGAACCCAATCCCTGTGCTTGCCTAAGCAGGCACTTAGTCCACTGAGCTATCTTGCCAGCTCAAAACCATACACTTTAAATAGGTGAGTTTAATGGTATGCATGTGAATTATGTATCAATAAAATTATTATCTAATGGGGAAAAGAGTAACTAAGGAAAAATAACAACATATGGGAAGACTACAACATGCTAGCTCAGTTTAGAAGAGAAGGAATAGAAATACACTTTCATAATTTTTTTTATATTATGTGAAGTGACATAACATTACTTGATGATAGACTAGTATATTAATGAATGTATGAATTCTAAAGTAACAACTGAAGCACAGAACAAAGAGGCATAGCCAAAAAATAAATAAGATGTCAACAAAAAAGATAAAACAGAATTGCAGAAAGCATTCAATTTATCAAAAAGAAGGCAGAAAAAGAAAATATGGAGGACCAAGAACAGATCTGACAGATAAATAAGAAAGTAGATTTAATTTCAACTACATCTATTATCATAATAAATATAAATGGATTAAACAACATAATTAAAATGCAGAGAAATGTCAGATTGGATAAAAATAAAGATTTCAAAGTCACAGGCCGAGAGAAGTAGAGTTGTTCAGAAAAGGCTAATGAGGAAAAATTCCCCAAAAATGAATGATCAGGAATGAAGTTAAGGAGCAAACATGTAACACGGGGAGCACAAAGAAACTACTCTGAGAAGACCTCTTCCCATTAAGAAAATATATAATTTAAAAAATAACAAAAGAAAGAAGTACTTATAGGGTCCATGAGTTTAGCAGTTAGGATTAGGAACCTTATAAGAATTGTTTCCAGTAGGTTTTGGTAAGAAGGAAATTTCAAATCAAGCTTTAATTTTGAATTTTAAAAGCAAATTATAAGAAAGGAAATCATAGTACTTTGAAGTGAAGTGATAATACCAATCACAACCTCGCAGAGGAACTGGATAGTTGAGAAAGGGATAAAGATAGGAAAGTTTACTGTATATTCTTCTATACTTTCAAAATCAGAAACTATCAGGTGGGAAATCAGGTGGTAATCTTTTTAGTAGAGAAAAATGTTTTAAAAATTGATATATGCTTATTCTTTAAAAACCTATGATGCTCATATTTTCTGTGTATATTACATTCTAGCTTTTTGAATAAATGATAGCTTTAATAAAATTAAGCTATGTAAGAAATAGTTTCAGTCATCCAAAATCTAAACTAAAAAAAAATTTTGGAACAACAAACTCAAAACTGAAAAGAGAGCAGCAGTATAAAATATGGTCCCAGAAATAAAAATCAGATGTTTCAAAAGCAACAATACCCTCCAGTTGTTTAGGCTCTGAGAAACAGGAGGAAATATTTAGTGTCTTTTCAAATAAGTGAGACATTTGTAGTGGCTATAGAATAGAGAAAAAGGTACAGAACTGGTAGCGATCCAGATAAATATGAGGGTTTTTTTTTTTTTTTTTAAAGGGGGGAAATTAAATGACCTACCTGAAGAATTTATAATAATCAACTATCAACTAAAGTAGTATCAATTGACAATTGACAAATAGCAATTACTGCTCAGAGAAGAGAGATGAGAACACCAAGTGGAGAAGATCCTCTGGTGGGATCCAGGTCCTGGGACCACTGCTTCTATCAGGAAGCAATGACAGTAATTTCTGAATAAAATATTGCTCCAGGAAATTGAGGCCAAATACATTAGCACATTACCTTGCCAGAAAACAAAATTTCCAGACTCAGCATGACATGCAGAAATAGGTGGATGGTGGCTGACCTAATGGAGACAAAGAACAAATACAAAAAGTAAGCAAACTTTTTTATCTCATGAAATCCATTCCTGCTTCTTTGCACCCAGAGGCATGTTTAGTTGAAGGAAAACTTTTGTAGTTCCCGCCAACACGTTGTTCCTCTAGAGGGCGCTCTTGATAAAGTCAGCTCTGCCTTTCTCAGGTCGAGGGAGATGAGAAAAAGCTGTGACCTCAAGTCCCTGGAGACTTCCCTGAGCCGGAGGCCAAAGGCCAGAGAAGACAGATTCATGTTTGGAATGACATTCAAGGGCTGACTGCCCATTCATAAACCATACAAAATGTCACTGCCTCCCAACTTCAAAATCTTTTAGGTGATTCTTAAAGTATCTGCAAACATTTTTATTAATGTGACAGTGTCACAACAAGCACTTTTTTTTTTTTTTAATGTGTTTTGTTTTTTGGGTTTTTTTTGGCTGGCTCAGGATGCCTTAAGGGCAGGTCTGGTAAGACATGAGAATCTGGGGATTGATCCACAGAATCCTGAGCCTGACTGCTTTGCTTAAGCAGGCACTTAAACCATAATACGCACTTTCTCAGCAATGCAAAATTGCCTTCCCTCCAGCTCAGCAGACTCAATCAACTCTTGAAAATTGGGCATCACATAGTCCAGCCTCTTCTCAAATTTTCCACAAGATCCAGTCAATATACTCTTTTAAAAATAAAGTTTTTGGGCTGAAGATGTAGCTGAGTGGTAGAGCACTTGCATAGCACATGTGTGGCACGGGGTTCAAGTCTCAGCACTACCAAAATTAAGAGACAAACAGCTAGACATACAATTTTTTAGGAAATGCTTGCTAATTGCTATGGAAAAAAAATCTGTTCATCTTTTGCCTAGGGGAGAAAGAAATATCTTGAGTAACAAGTAATCATAGTACATCCCAAAAAAGGCAGTCTCTGGAATGGAGACCACCCTTGACAAACAGTCATCACTTGTTTTGTTCACTAATTAGACAAAATGCTCTCTCTGTTCTATTTCCTCATTATCTCAGCAACACTGAGGAGTATGTTCTGTTGACTACTAGTTCACCATTAGGGAGACCAACCCTGCAGTATTTCTAGAAATTTCTCTGCTTTAGCTTGTTCTTAGCACAGGTATCATACATTAGGACATCTAGCCCAAAGCCTTTCTATTATAAATGTAGATACTACATTCAGGAAGATTAAATGATATTTTCCAAACCACACTGACATAGTAGTAGAAGGGAAACACAGAATTCTGGTGTACCTGAATGATTTTCAAAGAAAAAAAACAACAACCAAAAAAAAAAAAAAAAAAAAAAAAAAAAAAAAAAAAAAAAAACTTAAAGGAGTTTGAGTTCCAAAACATTATTATTATGATGGTGGTGGTGGTGATGATGATGATGATGATGTGGTACTTGGGATTAGACTCAGGGATAATGAGTCACCTGTGCTAGGAAACTGCTCTTCTCCTGAGCTATATCCCTCGCACTCTATTTTGAGACAGTGTCTTTCTAAAAAGCCCAGGCTGGCCTTGAACTTGTGATCCTCCTGTCTCAGTTTCCCTAGCAGCTGTGGGCCACTATGTCAGGCTGAAACACATCTTATCAACTACCTAAATCCGGAGTTATGCTGAGAGAGACAGGTATTAGCTTGTATTTGGAGAGGAGGAGTATGGGGATGATGACCCCAGAGCTACTCTCTTCGCTCTGGATCCACAACAGCACTGAGGAAGGTTTTGGAAACCTCTTCTCAAGCTCCTCTTGCAGGCAGAGCCCCATAGGAAAGGAATGACCCAGTCATGCATCCCATAGACATTTTTATGGATGGGATTATGGCTGAATCAATTTAGAAAAAAGAAAAGTAGCGGCAAAGACTGAGATAATATGTATGTGTTTCAGATCATTCAATAAGCTTAAATTCTAGCCACTACATGAAGTAGGAAGTGTAAATGTGCTGTAGTTTCCTCTTAGACCTGAGGTATGAAGGTGAGACTTTTGCCATCTTACAGAATTTCTAAGGGAAATGTTCACTGCAAGCTCTTAGAACCTAATTCCTGTCATGTAACACTACCTTCATTTGTTTACGTTTTAGCTTCCTTTTCTATAATTTTCTAAATTAAATTGTAAAATTTAATTTTACAATTAACTGCTTTATTTCTGTATTTATTTATTTATTTGGTACAGAGTCTCGCTCTGCAGCTTGGGGTCACAGTGTTCTTCTTGAGTCAGCCTCTCCAGCCCTGGGATTACAGGCATGCACCACAATGCCTGGTTTCTGTGGTCGCCATGGTACACCAGGATTCCGGGGCAAGCATGGCACGCAATACCAG